ACCTGACCTTTCTCTTTGGCCTCCCCATAGCATTTTTTCCTTCATTTCAGCCCTGGTGAATCTGACAATTATGGGCCTTGGGGTTGCTCTTCTTGAGGAATATCTTTGTGGAGTTCTCTGTATTTCTTGAATTTGAATGTTGGACTGCCTTGCTAGGCTTGGGAAGTTCTCCTGGATAGTATCCTGGAGTGTGTTTTCCAGCTTGGATTCATTCTTCCCATCATATTCAGGTATACCGATCAAGCATAGATTAGGTCTTTTCACATAATCCCATATTTCTTGGAGGCTTTGTTCACTTCTTTTCACTCTTTTTTCTCTTGTCTTGCCTTCTGTTTTTATTTCATTGAGTTCATCTTCCATCTCTGATATCGTTTCTTCTGCTCGATCAATTCGGCTATTAATACTTATGTTTGCTTCACGCAGTTCTCATGCTCTGTTTTTCAACTCCATCAAGTCGTTTATGTTATGCTCTAAGCTGGTTATTCTAGTTAGCATTTCGTCTAACCTTTTTTCAGGGTTTTTGGTTTCTTTGCATTGATTTAGAACATGTTTCTTTAGCTCAGAAGAGTTTGTTAATATCCACCTTCTGAAGCCTGTTTCTGTCAGTTCATCACACTCTTCCTCGGTCATGTTGTGTTCCTGTGTTGTTGAGGAGTTGTGATCCCTTAAAGGAGAAGAGGTGTTCTGGTCTTTGATGGTTTCATCTTTTTTGCACTGGTTTTTTCCCATCTTCATAGATTTACCTGGCTGTGGTTTCAGGGAGCTGCTTGATGAGGTCGCTTTTTGCCTGTCAAGGTGCTACTGGGTTTCTAGGGACTCCTTCAGTTTACTAGGGAAGCTTCCTGTGTCTTTTTTGTTTATACTGGGAGATTGGGCCCTCTTCTTCTGCTGACCAGTAGGCACTGCTGGTTGGTCAAGAACTCTGTCCCATTGCTAAGTAGGCTTCCAGTGTTTTTTGTTAAAACATGTAGCCCAGTCCCACCCCTCTAGTGGTGGGTTGTGCTCTTCCTCCACTGGGCTGAATCATTCAGGGTCCAGCTCAGACTGTGATACTGGTTGTGCAACCCACTGGAGTCAGAGCTTCAGCCCTCTGGAGTTTGTGAGAGAGGGTAGGGACCTGCCCAGCCACACCCCGCCATCTCCCCCTTTCAGCTTCCTCTCTCCCCAGTCATGGGGAAGGGGCCCCCTGCGCTGCTCCATCCATCCTCCCACTTACAGCTCCCTCTCTCTCCGGGAGTGGGAAGGAGGCGATAGCTTGGTCTGCAGGCTCTCTCAGCCGGCTTTTGAGCTTATGCATCTGTTTAGGCCTGTGCATCAATACGGGACACCATCCTGGATTATTCAACTCCATGCTTGTAATTCCCGGGGCTTGACTGGCAAAGATCCCCTGTTCTGTGTATTGCTAAGGCTTTGTGGGAAGCACTGTATGTGGACCAGAGTGCCAGAGGGGGAGCCTCTGACTTGCCAGTCAGATGCACTTTCTGGGTGAAGCAGCACCCCTCCCCACCTTGCTCTGCCATGCCTAGGCTTTGCTCACCATAGGACAAGACCCACTGAAATGCCCCTGGTACCTTGGTTGGAGCTAAGAGATCTCTGGATTTCTGTGTCTCTCTCGCTGGGTGTTGTGTGCCGGAGTTGTGTCTACTCGGCCATCTTGGAGTTGGCTGTTTGTTTTTTGAGACAGAGTTTCACTCTATCGCTAGGCTAGGGTGCAGTGGTGAGATCTCGGCTCACTGCAACTTCCACCTCCCTGGTTCAAGCAGTTCTCCTGCCTCATCATCCCGAGTAGCTAGGAATACAGATGCATGCCAACACGCCCGACTAATTTTTGTATTTTTAGTACAGATGGAGTTTCACCATGTTGGCCAGGATGGTCTCGATCTCTTGACCTCATGATATGCCCCCTTCAGCCTCCCAAAGTGCTGGGATTACAGGTGTGAGCCACTGCACCCAGCCTATTCTAAGGTTTTATATGTGGAAGCACCATGCCCTGAAACAAAAGATTGATTTTTAAAGTGCATCATGAACACTGCATACAGAGTTTGTGTAAGAGGAGAGATGAAAATCTCACATGCTTTAAAAAGGAACATGCAACTTATCTACATACAGTAAAATTTAAATAACAGCAGTAGAAGACGCAATCTGACATCTGAAAATCAAGGTAGAAATCTCTTTTAAATAAACTTGGCACAATTTTTAAAGTAAGTTATGAACAATAATAATACCTGAATATAGTATGTAAAGGTACCAATACAACAAAGCTAAAACAATATCCCTAGAAAGATTATTTGCTGTATGTTATTTTTAAAAAATAATCTAAGTACTTACCTTAAGAAGGTAAATGAATAAAATTTTTAAACTGCCTGAGAAAATCTATGAAAGGAAATTAATCTAGAGAAGCAGAATATAACTTAACTATAAACCACACAAATAGAGTTTAAAAATAAGTGGTAGCCAACATGCCCAATACAAGGTTCTGTGATGAAAGAAATGCCCTATATCTGCATTGTCCATTGCAGTAACTACCACACATATGTAGTCACAGAATTTCTAGTTTGGCCACTAATTTGGCTATTACTACTGAGGATATGGCATTTAATTATTTAATTATAATTAATTTACAGTTTATAGCCACGTGTGACTAGTAGTTCCTATATTGGACAACACAGATCTACAGTCTTGGAGGAGGCAATTAAAATAATGAGATATAGTCAAAACAAAAATGGATACATATCCACCATGGAATGTTATGAAGCCATAAAAAAGGAATGAGATCATGTCCTTTGCAGGAACATAGATGGAGCTGGAAGCTATCATTCTGAGCAAACTAACCCAGGAATAGAAAACCAAACACTGCATGTTCTCATTATAAGTGGGAGCAGAACGATGAGAACACATGGGCACTGGGAGAGGAGCAACACACACTAGGGCCTGTTGGAGGTGTTGGAGGCAGTGGGAGGGAGAGCATCAGGATAAATGGCTAATACATATGTGCAGTGGAGTATTATTCAGTGTTACATAATAATGAAACCTTGTCATTTGTGACAACATGGATGACTTGGAGAGCCTTATATTATATGAAATAGGCCAACCACAGAATGACAAATACTGCATGATTTCACTTGTATTTGAAATCTAAAATAGACAAACTCACAAAAGCCGACAGAATGGTGGTTGCCAGGGTCAAGGTGCCAGAGAAATGGGTAGGTGTGGTTAGGGCACAAAGTCTCAGATGTAGCACATAAATACGTTCTGGTGGTCTAGTTTATAGCACAGTGCTTATAGCTAAGAATATTCTATTGCATACTTAAAATTTGCTAAGAGGGTAGATTTTATGTTAAGCATTCTTACCAAAACAAATAATAATAATAAGGGGGGGAGACTTTGAGAGATGATGGATATGTTTATAATCTTGATGGCGGTGATGCGTTCATGGTGTATACTTATCCCCAAACTCACTGAGATGTACACCTTAAATATGTACTGCTTTTAAAATCTAATCATATCTCAACAAAGTGGATTTAAAAAAGAAATGAGAGGGGGTTGGTTAAAAAATTTTAAAGGAGGGGTAGATGTTCCCTTGGTTTTCTCTCTTGGCTTTTTCCTTTCCTGCTGCCTGGAATTCAAAAATGACAGGTGGAGATTTAGCAGTCAAACTAGTGCCTCTTCTCAAGTAGAGCAGATCAGACAGCAGGAAGGAGCCTGCATCCCTAATGACTTTGGCAAATATCTGTACTAGCCATGGTAGGTGTAAATGTAGACTTAAGTAAGAGAGACATAAATTTCTGCCTTGTTTAAGGCACTTTGTTCAGTCCACACATAGAGAATATGTGTTCCTTATGAGTAGGAAGAACGTTTATGGCATATGGATCGTGACAGGTGTTCAACCATGTGGGACAATCCTGATTATGATGACAATGGTGACAAACAGCATCAAATGATAAGCAATGAGAAAAGTGGCTTAATAGTTGTGTATGGTTACTTTATTTAAAGATTCTGCTGCTAATATTCAATGTATTTATATGCTGGTGGGAGTTTTATTAGATGTAAACTAAGAAAGTTTACATTATTTAATAAAAAATTCTTGATCAACTTTAAAAACAATAAAAATATTGGTAGATTAAACTAAGCATCTGTATTGCAAAGCAACTTTCCCAGCTGGTCTTATGCATAGTAATGATCAAGAATCCCCGATCTTGCTTCAACAGACCTCAACCTTTATAGGTGCTATCAAGGTTGAAGGAAGAGAGTTTTCCTGACTATTTGCATACCTCCAGTTAGTAATAAATCTAGAGATCTAGAACTCAAATCCAGACCTCCTCCTTCCACGTGCGGTGGTCTTTTGCTTTTCTGTTTCGTTCCACTTGGTGAAGAAGATTTGAGAATAAATGACCACATGATTCAACTCCCTCCTCAGTGCTGAGGAATATAATCTCGTTCCAGCAAGCAAGAAGCTTACACAGTAGTGGATGAGGCAAATATACGGTCAGTAATCTAACATACAAGGCAGTAAGCACTGTGACATAAACAAAGCACTTTGGGGTTTCAGACCAGGAGCGAGTGGGGTGATTCATTCTTAGCAGGGCTAGTAAAGTCTCTGGGAAGTGTTCACTAACAAAACATCTGGTCATTCGCTAAACCAACTGGTTTCTCAACACAGCCTAATTTACTGTAACAATATAAATGGTTGTTTGTTCATAAACTTTCATCTTTTGCCAAAATGTTTGTAGCTGATGTTCCCATTTAACAAGGTTTTCTGGTCAAAACGGTGCACCCACATCATCCTAATGAAATGGCTGTCCAATAAAAAAAAAGACTCTCAGTCCTCCCATAAAAGCAATTTTGCATGCACAGAACACCTCTATCTATGAATATCCCTAATGAGGTACAGAAGGACACTTATTATCCAAACAGAGACATTCCACTGGTGCTAGACAGCCACAGACAGAAGTTTTCTCTGCCTCCTGGAAATGAAGCCAAGCTTTCTTCTTTCTTCAGCCATGAGGTTTGCTGTCCTCCTCTTCACCATTTTCTTCTTTATGAGCCAAGTTCTACCAGGTAACAAAACAAACTTGGTAAGAGCAAAGTGTCTAACACCTTACAGGGATTCAGCACTCAAAGACAAATCACCATCACCTGTCATCAGAAAAGGGGGTCTCCTAGGAAATCTGGAAGACACGTTGGCTGAGAGGCCTGCAGCCACCTAATTCATTAATTCTCTATAGCAACTCAGTTAGATGACGTCAATGGTATTTCAAGTGTTTGAAACCCTCTTACTCCATCTCTAAATTAGACAAGTTTACTAGAGCTCAAAAATTAAAAATCAGGCATTATTCTACTAAATTGTGGTCTCTGAAACTCCTCTGCTTTCTTTCAGCAAATGTTAGTTACCCTAAGACACTGGCGTAAGAGCTGTGCTAAAGCTATGGTAGGCTCAGACAGAAGGGATTGGTGGGGGAAGTATCTGAAAATATTACTATAATCTAAGAAATCTTTAACCTATTGCTCCCCAGTACTGCTGGTCTCTGGGGCTCCACTTTTCCCCATAAGGCGTTTGAGACGTCAAACCCTGGCTTTCCCTCTTCCTTCTCAGCATCTGGTCTTGTCATGTAGAACTTAAACACAGGGACCAGGGATGACTCTGCCACAGAATATAGCCTACTGCATTCAGCATGCAAACATTAATCACAGGCATAAGGCCCCTTGCACAGACATGCTTTGGACAAGTATGTGTAGGACTTCTTGGATTTGCCCAAGGAGGTTACCAGACACCCAAAATAGATCAGAAAATTTTCTAGAACTCCTGAACATGTATATTCAAGGAAAAATAAGCAACTTATTGCCTCTATTTTTGCTGTTTTATAGAGGAAAAAATTAAGGCCCTGGAAACTGAAGTGCTTTTCCCAACAGTCGGGTAAATGTCAGAGTCAAGGTTTTGTTTTTACATCCCGGCTTTCCCTACACACCCCACCCGAAGATTCTGTTGTGCTGTTCCTTTGTGTGACTCCCCAAATCCTGGTTTAAGTTAGTACAACATATCAAGTTGTATTAACTTAGTATGTTAATACATTATATATGTTTCACTCTTAATATATACAATGGTTTCTAGAGAAAAATTGCAACCTCAAAGACCAGTGCCAGAGATATAAGAAGTGAGTGAATGAAGTCACAGGATGTAACAAGTATTGGCACAGATATATCTGTGTATTAAATACATAGGAATATTGTTCCCTTCCACACACAACAAAAATCCTCTCTAACAATTCACTTAAAGTATATTATCTTTTAGGTCTGCATTTCGGTTCTACTTTTGAAAGATACATATATTATAACCTATCATATCATATATATATATATAAACACATATACATATATATATACACTGTGTGTGTGTGTGTGTGTGTGTGTGTGTGTGTGTGTGTGTGTGTAAAAATAAAAAGAGAGGAGCCAAAAGAGATTTTCTTCTCTTTCATTCCAGGAAAATCTGTAGTACAAGATATTACATTTTTTAAAGGCTGATAGCTCCCATCAGTTTTAGGAGATAGTAAGGAATAAGAAAGATGAATGAACTGAAACGTGCATGCTCTAGGACTTGTAAAGGAAAGCAGGCTACTTACTGCCAGCCTTTTGTCATGTAGGTGTACCCGATATTCTCGGATTTTTCAAGAACACCAAAAAATCCAAATTTTTGTGTGACAGCAGGTTTTTAAGTGTATAAAAAATTAAATAACAACACAGCAAAAAAAAAATCCATCCAAGATTATTCATGTAATTATTGAATTACATGAACACAGGCACTGCCCCCTGTGTTCATGTAATTCAATACAAATTAAGAAAGACTTATGAATGGTTACAATAACCCTCTTCTGTGTGCAGTCAGGGGCAAATTCAAGGAGATCTGTGAGCGTCCAAATGGCTCCTGCCGGGACTTTTGCATCGAAACAGAAATCCATGTTGGGAGATGTTTAAATAGCCGACCCTGCTGCCTGCCTCTGGGGAATCAACCAAGAATTGAGAGCACTACACCCGAAAAGAACTGAAGCCTGTTTTTTGGATGTTTTAGGTTCTCTTTTCCTCTTTCCCTCTACTGCTCTCCCCCTCTCCCCTTTTCTCACAGAGATTTTTATTGAATCCTCAGTAAAGAATAAAGCAAAACCAGCAAGCACAAAACCTCTTTTGAAAGTTTATATTACTGGCCGGGCACAGTGGCTCATGCCTGCGATCTCAGCACTTTGGGAGGCCAAGGCAGGTGGATCACGAGGTCAGGAGATTGAGACCATCCTGGACAACATGATGAAACCCTGTCTCTACTAAAATACAAAAATTAGTTGGGCATGGTGGTGGGCACCTGTAATCCCAGCTACTTGGGAGGCTGAGGCAGGAGAATGGCTTAAACCCAGGAGGCGGAGGCTGCAGTGAGCCAAGATCACGCCACTGCACTCCAGCCTGGGCGACAGAGTGAGACTCTGTCTAAAAAAAAAAAAAAAAAAAAAAAAAGGTTTATATTACATGTTACGACTTGATTACTGCTTGGTTTCCAGTATCCTATCTGATCTGCAACTAAGTATCACATATGAAGGAAAGATACAGTCATTTTCAGACAAACAAATGCTAACATAATTTGCCATTACCAAGCCAGCACTGCAAGAACTGCTAAAAGGAGCTCTAAATCTTGAAACAAATCCTGGAAACACATCAAAACAGAATCTCTTTAAAGCATAAATCACACAGGACCTATAAAACAAAAATACAAGTTAAAAAACAAAAACAAAAAAAACAAAGTTTGCAGGCAGCAAAGAGTATGATGACCACGATGGTACCTCACGTTTCAATCCTAACATTGAATGTAAATGGACTAAATGCTTCACTTAAAAGATGGAGAACCACAGAATGAATAAGAACTCACCAACCAACCATCTGCTGTCTTCAGGAAACTAACCTAACATATAAGGATTCACATAAACTTAAAATAAAGGGGTGGAAAAAGGCATTTCATGCAAACAGACAACAAAATTGAGCAGGGGTAGCTATCCTTATATCAGACAAAACAAACTTGAAAGCAACAGTGGTTAAAGAGACAGAAGGACATTATATAATGGTAAAAGACCTGTTCTAACAGGAAAACATCACAATTATCACCATATAGGCACCTAATACTGGAGCTCTCAAATTTATAAAACAATTACTAATAGACCTAAAAAATGAGATAGACAGCAACACCATAATTGCAGGTGACTTCAATACTCCACTGACAGCCCTAGACAGGTCATCAAGATAGAAAGTCAATAAAGAAACAATGGGTTTAAACTAAACCCTGGAACAAATGGACTTAACAGATATATACAAAACCTTTCATCCAACAACCACTGAATACACATTCTATTCAATAGCACATGAAAATTTCTCCAAGATAGACCATATGATAGGCCATAAAATGAGCCTCAATAAATTTAAGAAAATTGAAATTATATCAAGCACTATCTCAGAGCACAGTAGAATAAAAGTGGGAATCCACTCCAAAAGGAACCCTCAAAACCATGTAAATATACGAAATTAAATAACCTGCTCCTGAATGAGCAGGGGGTCAAAAATGAAATCAAGATGGAAATTTAAAAATATTCTTCACACTGAATGACAATAATGACACAATCTATCAAAAGCTCTGGCATACAGCTAAGGTGGTGCTAAGAGGAAGGTTCATAGCCTTAATTCCTACATCAAAAAGTCTGAAAGAGCACAGATAGACAACCTAAGGTCACACCTCAGGGAACGAGAGAAACAAGAACAAACCAAATGCAAACCCAGCAGAAGAAAGAAGATAACCAAGATTACGGCAGAACTAAATGAAATTGAAACAAAAAAAAATACAAAAGATAAAGGAAACAAAAATCTGGTTATTTGAAAATATGAATAAAATTGATAGTGCATTAAGATTAAGAAAAGAAGAGAAAAAATCCAAATAACCTCACTGAGAAATAAAACAGGAGATATTACAACTGGTAACCACTGAAATACAAAAGATCATTCAAGGCTACTATGCTCACACACTAGAAAACCCAGAAGAGATGGATAAATTCCTGTAAAGATACAACGTTCCTAGCTTAACTCAGGAAGAGTTAGATACCCTGAACAGATCAATAACAAGCAGCAAGATTAAAATGGTAATTTAAAAATTACCAACAAAAAAAGAGTCCAGAGCCACGTGAATTCACAGCAAAATTCTACCAGATGTCGAAAGAAGAATTGGTACCAATCTTTTGGACACTTTTCCATCATCAGCGATATAAAATAAGTAAGTCTACAGATCTCATGTACAACACTAGAACTGTAGTTAATAACGTATCATTTGCCAGAAATTTGCCCAAAGTAGATATTAGACACTTTCACCACAAAAAGGTAACTATGTGAGATGATATGTTAATTTGCTTGATTATGGTAATCATTATACTGTATATATGTACATATATATATATATACAAACATTGTATGTCTTAAATACAATAAAAAGAAAGTGGATGCATAAGGCAATAAATATAAACCTATGTTGACAATCATACAATGTATAAAGATGTGATTTATGACAATAACAGCATAAAGGAGGGGCAGAACCATATAGAAACAAGGTTTGATATACTGTGAAAATTAAGCTGGTGTTAAACTAGACTGTAGTAAATTAATATGCTAATTTTAATGCCCAGAGTAACCACTGAGAAGGAACTGAAAAAATATGTAGTAATCGGGGGCAGGGCTGACCAGAAGTGCCACAATTGGAGGCTCCCATCTTTTTTGTTTTTCAGTTCTTTCATTCCTTCATTATTGCCTTCCTTTGTATTAAATATTTAAATATTAAACATTTCTAGTGTATCACTTTAATTTCTTGTTCTTGTACTACATATTTTTTTATTTTTTATATCACTGAAACTTCAACCCTTTGGCTTCCATCTTCTGTCTTCCACACCCTCTCCCCCCTCACCTCTTCTAACCTTTCTATGTCTTGGGGGTTTTGTGGGAGTTTTTTGCTTAGGGTCTACCTATAAATGAGATAATGAAGTATTTTTCTTTCTGTGCCTGCATTATTAACATAATGTCTTCATCCATGTTGATGCAAATGACAGAATCTTTTTAATAAAATGGAGTGATATTTTATTATGTATATAATTCCTTCATCTATCCACCTGTTCATAACACTTAGGTTGTTTCAATATCTTGGGTATTGTGAATAATGCTGCAATGTGCAGCTTTGTTTTTAAATCAGAAAAAAAGAGGATATTGTTTATATATTCTAAAGTTACCTTTATTAAAGGTACACACACATGCACATAAACACACACACACACCCCAGCATTTGTATTCCTTTATGTGGATTGAAATTACTATGTAATGTTCTTTCGTTTCAGCCCAAATAACTCCCCATAGAATTTTTGATCATCCAACTGTATTCTTATAAGAAGTCAGCTGTAAATGCATTGTAATCACTCATACACTAGTCTTTTCTTATCTGCAGTTTTACTTTCGATGGCTTCAGTTACCAATGGTGAACTTTGGCCTGAAAATATTAAATGGAAAATTTCAGAAATAAACAATTTTCAATTGCATGCCATTGGAGTAGCATGATGAAATCTCATGCTATCTCGCTTCATCCCACTGGGGGTGTGAACCATTCCTTTGTCCAGCGTATTCATCCTGTATATGCTGCCCACTCATTGGTCAATTAGCACCTGTCTTGCTTATCAGGTTGACTGTCACACTATCACAGTTCTGTGTTCAAGTAACCCTTATTTTACTTAATAATGGCCCCAAAACTCAAGAGTACTCTCCCTAATTTATATATTAAAATTATTAAATTTTAAACTTTGATTAAATGTTATTATAAGTATGTATTACAAAACATAATAAGTATATGGTTCAATACTATCCATGGTTTCAGGCATTCACTAGGAATTTTGAAATATATCCCTCGTGGATTAGGAGGACCTACTGTACGTGATAAGTCTCTTCTCTCCTGCTGTTTTCAAGATTTACTCTTTAGCTTCGGATTTGAACCATTTGGTGATGATATGTCTTTGTGTGGTCTCTGTGAGTTTATCCATCTAGAGCACCCTGAGCTTCTTGTACATGCAGATTAATTTTTTTCTTAAAATTTGGAAAGTATTAGACAATTGTATCTTCAAATATACTTTCTGTACCTTTCGCTCTCTTTTCTTTTCGGAACTTCCATTATGCATATGTTGATCTCTTGATGGTATTCCACAGGTCTATTAAGCTCCATTTATTATTCTTCATTCTTTTCCCTAACTGATATTTTCTCTATCTGGATAATCCCAATTGACCTATTTTCAAGTTCACTAATTATTTTTTGTACCACCTCAAATCTGCTGTTGAGCCCTCTAGAGCATTTTTCATTTCAGTTATTTTATGTTTAAACTCCAGAATTTCATTTGGTTTTGTTTAATATACATACATATATATACACATAATGTTTTTTTAATTAATTTATGTTGATATTCTCTATTTTGTGAGATATCATTCTCATGTTTTTGTTTAGTTCCTTAGATGTAGTTTCCTTTAGCTCTTTGAACGGATCTAAAATAGTTAATCTAAATGCTGTTTCTATTAAGGCCAGTGTCTGGGCCTGCTCAGGGGTAGTTTTTATTAACTGCATTTTTTCCTTTCCATGTGCCATACTTTCTTGCTTTTTTTCTTTTTGTGTGTCTCATCATTTTTTTTGAAAACCAGACATTTTAAACATGATAATGTGGCCACTCTAGAAATAAGATTCTCCCTCCTCCCCACATTGTACTCCGTGTCGTAGTTATATGTTTGTTTAGTGTCTTTTCTGAATTAACTTTGTGGTTTCCATTTTTTGTCACCTACATCCATTAAAATATTTCTTCCATTAGCTTAGATGTCAGCTAATAGCTTGACAAAGATTTCCAAATGTGTTTGGAACTGAAAGTCTAGTCCTTGCAGAGGGGCTTTGTGTATGTGTTGGGCCATGCTTTCAACACTCAGCCAGGCAGTTTACAACCCTGCCTTGGCCTACATTTTCTGCTTGTGCAGGGAAGGTAGAAATTTCTCAGATTTTTACTGAACACACACACAGCCTTGACATACACATCATTTTGCAAATTCTGAGAAATACTTTGAAGCTTCTCAAAGCCTATATTCCC